TAACAGTCCGCAAAAAATAATAAGCCGGATCCAATTCGAAGATTAAGGAACAACACAATCTGCAACATTAACTGAATTAAATAATTTTTGCTTAGATTATACCATCTGTTACACATTAAACGTGCATGCGCAAAAACATATTCGCAGCCGTAAAGGTCTTACGTGCACTCGTAAACGCCTGTGCGCATGCGTGAATGTGACGCATGCGCAGAAAGTTTGCAGCTTTGAGGTCTGGATTATAGATCATTCCGGATTACGGGTGTCCGAATTAACGACTTTTGACCGTATCTCTTACAAATATGAACATGATTGCTACAGTCTTCTACTTCTCGTAATATAGTATCATTATTTGTCATAGTCTCAGGTATCTCACACTTATAGCTAAACTTTCCAAAGTACTTGCTAAAACTATGTTATTATTATTTACATAGGCCATGTACCTTCTATATCTTTCTTAGTTTGAATAGTTTTTAGGTTTTATGTATTATCTGCTATATGATACGAGAGATTATTTTTTTTAAACCTTAGAAAGTTAAAATATTCTCCTTGTTTGAGCGACTGCTATTTTATATTATTTCTGTAGTTTCAAAAATGAACTCTAATTTTGGAATATGAGGAAAAACATATATATATATGTGTGTGTGTGTGTGTGTGTTGCTGGCACAGTATGAAATCCAGCATTCTATAGAATGTCTAGGCATTGTATATAATGCCTAAAACTAGCAGGCAATGTATGAAATTGAATAGTTTCATATTTGTAAGAGACATTCACATGCCTAGGAAATGTGTGAAATATGCCAAATCACAAACCAGCAAAGCATGAAATACATTTCTGATTCATTTCGAAGAACCGAAACTACTTATCAGAAGTTAGTAAATGAAGTAAAAAAGCCAAAAAATGACTACTAAGAAGGAACCGTGGGACTACTGGCCGCTGAATCGCTAGGATGAGATGTTTGTAGAAAACAAAAGTGCATTCATTTACCTGTTAAAGAAAGCGTTACTACAATACAGTATTATGTCACAGATGCTGAGTTATTTTTCATATTTTATAAAAACCCATTTGAGTACTGCAGAGAAATGACGTGAACATTGAAAGAACTTTCAAGCAATTACAAAAACGTTACACATAATGATATTGAACTGTAACAACCACCTTTGTGAGCCCTGCTAGAAAAAATAAAAAGGTATTAAAAAGGGCACTGATGTGAAACTAAGAATTACGATTGTTTCTGAATTTAACTTCTGTTGCCATGTAGATCTTCCTGATTCCCAGTCTCAATCAGATAGAAAATACAAATTTATTATGCTGTGTCAAGATTACCTCACTATCTTTTTTTTTTTACATATTTCGAGGAACAGTTTTTTAATGGCACTCTTTTATTAATTTTTCAAAATAACATTTGTATTTTAGAGGAATGAATGTCTTTTAAATAATAGCCTTATCATAACCTTTTTTTTTTTTTTCATGCTTTGCCTAAAGAGCATTTGTCATTTTAAAGAACGCCTAGGTTTATTATATACAATGCCTAAATAAAGTATGTAATAAGTCTCTTATTTTATACTTTGCCTAAAATTGTTTGGCATTATATACAATGCCGGTAACATATATAACTAACTAAAGTAAAAAGAACACCATTTACCGCTTCTTAGTTTTTATATTTTTGCTTAAATCATTTGTCGCACTTTAATTCTAATGTTTAAAATATGCCTTACTTTGATTAGCATATTGCTTACAATTAGTATTGAATTTTATTTGTAAATATTCAAGTGTTTGTATTGTTTATTTTATCTTTATAACACATTTCATTGCACCTTATTTTACTTATGTTAATATTTTCACAGAACCACAGTATCTAAGCAACTTTTTAGCATACGAACTAGGAACTTTCTTTTAACTATATATATAGTATACACACATTATTTAGGAATTCTATGTTGGTAAAAGGTCTTTACATAACATAACTTCTTTTGGCATCTGGAAATAACTGAATGATATTTAGTTTATAATAATAAAATTCTCCCTTTCAGTTGCATAGCATTAAGCATTTTATAATGGTAAGTTAGTATATATCACTTGCCACACAGACTCCAACATACACTAAAACTTATAAACAGTCAACACGTAACTAACAATTTTACAACTTTAAAAATGTACATGTAAAAACATATTTTTTGAATTAATTGTTTCTTAATTTTAATTATGATAAAATGTAATATATCTAATTTACATTTGACTTAAAATCCAAAAATATAAATGCAGAATAATTAAAAATACTTTTGGTAAATTTAACATATATTTAATTAGAAATTTTAATTAATCAAGCAGAAATATCACTAAATCTACTAATATATAATTAGATATTATTAAAGCAAATATTTTAATCACAAATAATTATAGAGGAATTTAGAATCCCTAAAATATATAAATATGTATTTATTATAAAAACCACATAATTTGTGGTTTTGGAATTTTGATCAGGAAATAAATAAAAAAAAAAAAAAAAAAAAAAAAAAAAGTAAAGTAAAATAAATAAATTCTAGACAGAAATAAGAAATATACATATAAACATGAACAAAAATACTTACAATCTATTTATATATTATGAATGTAAAGATTTATAAGTAGCATGCTTCACACGCTAAAGTTCTGAATTAATCTTTTTCTGCAACATCATTCTTCATTTGCCAACATATTTACTTTTTCAATGAGAACAGCTTCAAGAGTTTTCATACCTAAAATTGGTTGAAATACAGTCGCACTTTTTTTTTTAATAATAAAAAAATTCTTTCAAAGGCTGCAATTGAATGAGGGATTTCTTTTGCTATGGCAAAATTCGGAAATATTGAATTTAAACGCTGCTTCGAAAGATCTGAAACTGAAATAGGAAAGTTGTATTCAATTAAAAACCAAACTAAATAGCATTTGGTTCCTGCCAAATTTTTACACCCCTCTTCCTCAGGAGCAAAAAAGTTCTGCCAATCAAGAGAGAAGAAAAGCATGCCAAACATAAAACTAGGCAAAAAAGCAACCTTGCATTTAGCATATATTTTAATTAAAACTCTAGCAGTTTCAAGGATGAATAGGTATAGGTCCCCATTCATTAGAAGAGAAAAACTGCTGCCCACAGAACTTTTTTATAATAAGTAACTAACTTTTATACATAATCACCTTTTCTAATTTTTAAAATACACTGGTTATCATTAATTAAGGAAAAATCACAAAAATTGTTATTACTCAAAAAGTTACATATAGAATTTAATGAAACTGAGATTGAACTGGCCATTCCCTGCACTGAATTCTTTACTGCTGAAGATTGCACTGAATTCTTTACTGCTGAAGATAATCATCCATGATGCTAGCTGTGTGTTGTCTAGCATTGTCGTCATATAGCAGAATATCATTACCTATTGCCCAGGCATAAGGACACAAATACCCATCAAGGATATCAATTCTGTTGGCGTGAACATTCACGGTTCCACATGGAAAGACATGAAGGTCTGTGCACCCACCCAAACACAGACACTGCCTCCTCCATATGCATCTCGTTTACAGATGTTTGATAGATGGTAACAGGTTCCATGTTCCCTCTACATCAAATGATGTCTACTGTTGTTTTAGAGGCAAATCTGGACTCATCAGTAATGAGAACAGCCCTCCATTGATCAGCTCCCCAGAGAACATGTTGACGTGCCCACCTCAAACATTCCTTTCTATGATGTGACATGAATGGCACTCAAATGGCTGGTCATCTCACATACAGATCTCCTTTGTGAAGCCTTCCATGCTTGGTTGATGTTGACACCAACATTCAGGTGGATGCAGCATAGAAGGATCAGATTTGAAATTGCAGTTCCATTCCTTTGTGTGCAAACAACAAATATTAATCAACGACGCTCAACGTAGTAGTTGGCAGCACTTCGCTGAACCTCCTGGATGCCAAATTTGTGGTTAGAAATTATTGCCAAAGTGTATGAACGTCCAAAGGACTTACATTTAGCCATCTGCCCATTTCTGTCCAGTCTCTAGTCCCACAATAGCTATAAATTGCAATTCTTGGGCAAATGAGACCTGGAGGTCATTGTTACAAATTGAGTATCCCAGACTTCTTATCTAAGTATCAGCTTGCTCTCAAACATGCAATTTTATGCTCCCTGCAGATGATGCATTCTAATTACAGTGCCACTCATTTGCATACTGCAGTTTTACTCAGCAACTCTTATATGACAACATATTCAAATTTGATATGGATTGGCTTATTTTTGAATGAGCAAGTCATCGTAATTTTTGTGATTTTCCCCCCTAATTTCAGGAAACCAGTGTATTCCAAATCATTTTTCTTTTACAGACACCTGATAAATGAAATATTTTGTTTGCAGTCCTAATGCCTATAATTTATGCACAGATGGTCAAAAGTAAACTCCTTAACTGTAAAGCTTCTTCTGTAGCCACAGATTTTACTTCTTAATACAAAGATTGAAGAATGTTTAAGAATCCATGTAACATATTTTTTTATGAATTATGGACTATTTGTCAGGCTAATAATTTTACCACAAAAAATAATGATAAGTAGAGAAATCAGTTCTGAAGCCTGGGATTTACACTAACAAAATTTACACAATGTGTGCTTGTGTTATACAAATATACAAACCTACCTGAAGTAGTTACTCAAATAACCAGCATATAATGAAATAAATATAAAAAAGTAAATACAATTATATACAGTAGGAGTTTTAGTAAATGAACCAATTGTTTTTCCTTTTCTTTTTCATTTCAATTTAACACTAAAAGCTGGCACAAATATACATCTTTATAGTGTGATACATGAAAATGAAGTTTTTAAAAAATTGTCTTTTTTTTTAATGACAAACTCTTTACATGTGGTTTATTAACATAGAAAATTAAGAAAAGGTAGGTGAATTAAGAAAAGCAAATTGTTTAACAATAAAAAATATTTATTGGGAAGAAGAAGATAAAAAATTAATTAATTAAAAATTACCATGTAAAATTGAGGTTGCTTGAACCAGTCTTTCCACCTTAGATGAGGTTTTTCAATTGCATCACTTGCTTCATTAATAGCATATTGTTCCCGTGAAGCAAAAGTTTGATGATCTCTTTCTTTAACAAAGACATGGAATAATGTTGCGAAAACCAGCCCAACACCAACCATAAAAAGAGCAACATTCTAAAAATAAAAATTATTAAAGCACAGCTGTCATAACAATATGCAGTAACTAATAGCTTCCAATGAATTTTTCATTCCTAATTTAGTCCAAATAGAAAGAAATATTTTATTTTGAACTAAAAGAGTAGAAGGGAGATAACTACAAATATTGCATTTCATATATAAAAATGAAAATTCTAATAATATCTAACAGATTTTTCTATTATACTAAGCTCAGATGGGTTTCTATCAGAGTTCAGCAAAAATCCTAAATAAAATTAAATTTGTCTGGAAATATCAAGAAATCAATAGTTCCTCATCTCACCTATACAATAAAACAGATCTACCTGCCCATCTACACATACATATAGAGCATACAAAAAAGTGAAAATATATTTGTCTGAATTTCTCACCCTAAAAATTGATAAATCTTGAGGACCAATATGCTTCTCTTCATCGTTAGCTATTCCTAAAAGAACCCACAGAGTACTATATGCACATATATTAGACATTACTGTCATGGCATACCTAGAATAAATACACAAAAAAGAAATCTGAAAAGCATAAAACAAAAACAACAAAAATTATTTTTAAGTTTTCAATTTAACTATTAAAAACCTTAATACTTAAAAAAAAAAAAAAAAAAAAACTCCCACAGCAAGAGATTTCCAAATCTTGAACGGCTGGAGTTTCTCTTTTAGGTCAAGATGCCATGCTAAAACAAAATTGGAAGAAGGCGGATATGCAATTTGTAAATTTAAGTGTACTGCATAACCAAAAGCATATGTATACCACTTTGTAGCAATTAGTTTGTCTCAAACTAGTATTGAAGAAATCATACAGTTTTCTGTTTTTTGTAAACGTTCAAAGGCACGTACGATGGATCAAAATGAAAAGTTCAATAGTTTTAGCACAAGGCACTATAATACAATCAACTGGAAGTGATTTTGCTAAGATAGAAATTCTGAAAGCAACATCAACTGAAATATAATTTTTACAAAGAGTACTTCACAAGACTCAGAAAAAAAAAAAAAAAAAAAAAAAAAAAAAAAAAAAAAACTAACCATCAATAGAGTCCATTTATCACAACTTGGCTAATATGTGTTAAAACTTTCTAAGACAGAGTGTTTGTGCAATACAAACTCTACTTCCTAACACTGATGTTTCTGATCAATCTATGTTTGTGAAGTGAAAATATGCTGCTCAAAATCCCTCACATATAGTCCTTCTACCAAATACGGATTGCAGTTAAGTACAATCTGCATTCAGTTTGCAAAGAGGTGGGCCTCAGGTATTAAGATGTTTAAAATTTAACTGAACTTTTGTTTATAATTGTATACACAATTTTTGTTTTCTCAATTATTTTGGGTATTACAATTCTACTGCAAAGTTTTGAAGTAGAATGAAACACCTGTCATTGACAAATGCATTCTTACCATTGTAGTACTGTAATTTTTAATTATTCTATTTTTCAACAACATTATGCAGGATGGCATGTTGCCCACATTGTCCTGACATTCCTCAATGCAGAGGGTGATTGACTGTTGCCCCAGACACATCTGGTCACGTGTCGTGGCACCCCACCATTCATCAATCACTACAATTGATGAATTCTGATATAGCGAAGCCACATAGAATGAAGCATCCGTATCTGTTATTTAAGTTCAGTTCAACTTGATGCCCAGCACAAGATTACTGTTGTTGCTGATAGAGGGGACAGCTATGCTCACTGAATACTGCATGCTGTGTACCCCAAACCCCCAGAAAATTTAATCATGTCTTAGTCCTGTTATGCTGTATATATATTTTAAATAAGATTCTGCTATTTAGTTTAATTCCTGATATACCAGTTTTGATGGCCAGCAGTGTATTTAGCAAAGAAAAATAAAACTTTTCACTAGCTGACTAAAGAGGGCGTTTACACATTTTTCTAATGATTTCAATTTTTAATAACTGAATTTAAATATTAATTTTAAACTACAAATGGGACTGGCATCAAATTGGAACAAGGTTCAATTATCGTCTGCAGCATTAAAAATATTCTTTTCTTGAAAATGTCACTAAAAAATAAACAATGGATCGAAGGGCTATATTTTTGTGCTGTCCGAGAGAAATACTCTTATTCAATTATTAAAAAAAGATGTGAAAAGCATGGTATTAATACATCTGCATGTAAAATAAGTGATATAATTAATATGAAAGGAAAGAAATGTCAAAGTTTATATCTGACTAGGAAAAAGGCAAACAAAGCATATCCAACAAAGGCACATACAGCTCTTGTTAAATCTCAAGTTGCATCTCATGTTTTAAAGGAAAATCTAGCTTCCCAAACAACTATTGGAAAATCTTTAAATATATCTGTAGGAACTGTGAACAAAACTATAAAATCAGATTTAAATCAAAACAAAAACAAAACAAAACAAAAATGATGTTCACAGCCTAACACCATAACATGTTTCTCAGTGTAAGACTACGTGCAGATTATTTAGCAGGTGAAAAATGGAAATATATAGTTACAATTGATAGGGCTTGAATATATTTATTTGCAGTAGAAAAAGATTGACTTATTACCAAGAAAAGAGGAGGAAAAGACTTAACATGTTGATTCAGAGAAAACAAGAAAGGTTTTCCTAAAGGTTTTATGGTTATTACTTTATTCTTTTATAACAGTAAACTTAAAATAAGGAAAAAATGTCAAAATTAATTTGGATTACTATCAGAAATTTACTTTAATACCTATTTTTAAAGTAGAAATTCTATCTTTTTATCCAAACAAGCTTCAATGTGTTAAGTTAAAATAGGATAAAGTTCCAAGCTATACTTCTAAATCTGCTGCTCTATTAAAAAAAAAAAAAAAAAAAAAAAAAAAAAAATGAGAAATGAAACAAGAATTGAAGTTATTCCGTTTCGCATGATGTGTCTTCCATGGATTTCTATGCATTTGGAACTTTAAAACAAGCCCTTTATAGGCAGCATTCCAAAACATTGGATTGACTTTAAGAAAAGGACCTTAACTTGGAAATCAAAATGTAATATGATAGTTCAACAAAAGGGCTGACTGAACATATTTGAAAATAAAATTTTAAGATTTGTTTGTATTTAATCCTTTGCGGTCAGATTAAATTTGGGGATGGGTATCATACTGGTCGGAATTAATTTCCGTCGATACAGCAGGGATACATAACACGTAAGTTTATGATGGTTAAACAAGATTTAGTAATTCTTTTGTGAAAATCTGATTTAAATCAAAACAAAACAAAACAAAAATGATGTTCACAGCCTAACACCAAAACATGTTTCTCAGTGTAAGACTACGTGCAGATTATTTATCAGAAAGAGAAATAACGAGATATATCTTTATTCAATACACTAATCTAGTGATATTTTTTTGTATAAAAAATATGTTTTATAATTCTCCGTGTGATATTTTTCAAAACACTCTCCAACATGCAGGCCATGTTTTCGAGTGCATGTATCGCAAAAAGATTAAGGGTGGAAGGCACCAAATTGGTTTGGCCACCCTTAATCTTTCTGTTTGAACATACACTACAATCTTTACTTTTTACATTTTCAAAATGCCGCAATATATGCAGTTTTCCATTAAGTCTTTCTTCCTTATCGGAGGTCAATGGTCTTCCTGGTTTTGAATCTGTTCCGTTATGAAAATCACCTACCAGTTGTGCCACCAATTTTCGGATGAACATAAAATGTGGCATAGGTGTCCTGTTTTCTCTTCTAGCTGAATTTTAGGGAATTATTTTGGAATATTTTAAGAAGAGAGAATATCTAATTACTGTTATATACAATTTATAAAATATTCTTTGGAATTCTACATGGTATCGTCGAACATTGTCGATTTCATTACGTTCAAAAGACAACTGACTCGCCACTGCGTCTTGCATGGTGAGTGCTCATGAGACTTTTGTTTAGATTAAATTACGTTATCTCCAATTGATGGTGCACCATATTGGTTCGTGAATAGGTACTTTAGGCATTGAGGTTCGTATAGGAAAAGTGTAAAGATACATGAATGCATACAGTATACGATTCGTATAGTTCCTTGCTATGGTGGCTGAGAGCAGACATGCAACCGGAACGGGTAAAAGGCTTTGGTGGCTGAGAGCAGACATACGACCGGATCGGTAAAAAGACTTTGGTGGTCGAGAGCAGACATAAGACCAGAATGGTAAAAAGGCTTTGGTGGCCGAGAGTGGACATACGACCGCAAAGGGTTAAATCTTTGCAAAATCATTATAAAAATGTGCGAACACTCTCTGTATATCCACATGTGAAACCTAAACTAAGTGCACATATGCAGATTGGTAACCTTCTATTTTTCACTAAAGCCAGAATATGCTATTTATAATTTTTGCCAAGGCAATATAATAACAGGAAAGTACCATAGTTCTTTATATGTGTCGAAAAGTGAAAATTTATACATATTCTGTATTTTCTTTTCTCATTATTAGTTTTCATAGTCCTCTAACTTTCTATACTTTATACTATTCGATCTATTTCACTTAAAGCATTATTTATTTTAAAATCAATCTATTTTCTCCCTTATGTTCATCATTTGTTTTAATTAATAACATATGTGACAGATGCACAGCTGGACAGATTACTATCAAATCTAAGTTCAGGGAGAACTGCCTTAAGTCTAAATCAGAAAGAGAAATAACGAGGCTTCAACTAGAGTGCACATTCAAAAAGATTAGTCACTGGCTTTAGTGAAGCAGTAGTACTATACTCATCTGCAGATAGAGTCCTCAATTTGAATGCTATTTTAAGATGAACTTTATTATGGTGCCTAACTTAGATGAGCCTATGGTAAATTTAATGTTCGTTACAAACACTACCAAGCAGGGACAGGGAAAGTGGACGGAGCACCAGAACTTCGTCAGTGACTTTTACAGGTATTGCTCCGCCGCACTACTGTACTTACTGGGAATTCAGTTGGCCCGCATCAGAAGCCAACCTATCAAGACATTTACAGTTATACTTTACATTAATTCTAAACTTTCATATTGAATATACAATTGCAAAAACACGGTATACAATTACAGAAAACTTTTCACCTCAGAAGAAGGTACATTCAACTGAAGATGAGAGCTAGAGTTCATATTCAAAAAGATTAGTCACTAGTTTTAGTGAATCAGTAGTACTATGCTCATCTGCAGATATAGTCCTCAATTTGAATGCTATTTTAAGATGACCTATAATGGTGCCTAACTTAGATAGCCTATGGTAAATTTAATGTTCATCCTTAACATCACCAAGCACTAAGAGAAAACTTTTCACTTCAGAACAAGGTACAGTAAAAATCCAGAAATCCACAAAGCTTGGGACCAGAGGTTGTACGGATTTTAGCACAGAAAAGATAAATCATAATATTCAGACTAAAAAAGCAAAATAAATAAGGCATATTAGATGCATTTAATTATTATATACATTATTACAATAATTTATTATATGCATTAAATTATTATTACATATATAAATTAATTATATTATATTATTTGTTTACATTAGGCTCCTTTATTTTTAAATCAGCACGGCTTCTCTTTTTTAAATCATCATAAATCTGCTTCCCCTTTTCTCTCAGGAGCTGTCCTGAAATTGGAACCCCCATAACTCCGCCGCTGCTGGAATCACTCATCATTCATCGTACAAGACAGCATCAAGGTTTTCCGATTTCGCCTCATGCAAAGATTTACAGTGTTAGAATCACTGTTGCAGTAAAATTTCAACAGCTTTTCTTTATTTTTTTTCGTATATGATACGCAGTCCGTGTCGCAATTCCATACGATTCTGCTATAAGCCGAGGAGTAGCACCTGCCTCCATCTTTTGCAGAATTTCAACTTTTTGCATTACCATCAATGCAACGTGTTTACGTTTTCTAACGTTGCAAGCAGTAAAACCATGAGTGCATTTCTTATCTTTCAATGATTAAAAAGCACTGAAATTTAACATATCCATAATTTATCCACAAAATATCCAGATTAAAAAAAAAGGGGGGGGCAGCACTAAGCAATCTCGTGAAATAATAAAGCTCAGAAAATACAAGAACGTGAATCGTGAACTTGAAATAAAAGTTGAGTGAATCGTCTGCATTTTTACCTCGATGCAGATTGGAGAGGAAAAAACTTATCATGATGTCAATAATTTGATATTTTCTTTATGACTCATTATTATTCGGTAATTATGATGTTAATATTCGATAAGTATTTTTTTTCGATATTTTTTCATACGCCATGTTGTGGTTTCCTGAACCTATAAACTGAATGTTTATATTTTGAAAGGCAACACGGATTTCAGGAATTGGCGGATTTTCGGTATTTGACTGTACATTCAACTGCAGAACATTCAGGCAGATAACTAGAAAGATTATTCCTAATTAGATGGTCATGCTGGAAATGAAAATGTGGATTAAGTTAAAATCGAGATCTTTACAAAAACACACATTTACTTTTAACACATATTTATTTATTGACTATCTACTACATTTTTTAACAACTAATACATATGTGATGATAATCACTAATGTCATAAATTTTAATACTTTAAATGCATAAAATTGAATAATGTGAATACAAGTGCTTCTGAAAAAATAAATGAAGATGCTGAAAAAATAAATGCTGCATTGGAGTTAAAAAAAATCTCTTGAGAACAGAACAAAAAATAATCAATGAGCACAAGAATAGAATAAATTTAAGAATAAAAATTTCATGAAATTAAAAGTACATGAGGACTTTATTCTTAATATAAGCAGATCTACATAATATATTTTTGACTAAACAGAATTTTGTTAGTCTAAATACAATGAATACAATGCAATAAAATACAACAATATTGATTGCAATACTCTGAAAAGAATCAACACAAAGCTTTACATTATATAACCCAAATGGGTACTAACCGTTTTGAGGACCGTAAAAAAACTGCATCGAAAATGTATACGCAAAAGCGCCAAATCTAGCTAACATGCCCATTTAACAGCAAGCCAAATCTAGCATTTGCAACTGATTTCAAATTGCATAAGTTTAGCTAGTTCTATATATCTTAAGACGCCATTGAAATACTAGCTTGATTATTAAATCCTTTTTTGATATCCTATGGATTTCGGAATCGCCCATCTGAAAAAAAAAGTCTGCAATCGAATTTTTTCAAAGAAAAGGCATCATTCATTATAGAAAATTATGTTTGAATAACAAACGAGATGAAATTATGCTTTAGCGAGAACTCTGTAGCGAAATACCGATGCAGGAATGCATTCAGTTATGTTTAGCCTTTGTTTATTTAAATTATAATAATGATCTGAAATAGTTTACTCTTATGCTGCCAATCAGTTATGTTTAGCCTTTTTTATGTAAATTATAATACAGTCAAAAGTCATTAATCTGGACTCGTCGGGACTTCGGCGATTCTGGATTACCGACTTTTCCGGATTATAGATCATCAGTTCAAATCTGGTAAGATGGCATGCAGAAATTATAAAATTAAAAATATGAAACCGTAATTTATGAAATAAAGAACAATTATGATCTAAAGGGTATCAAAATTTAGAAAAAAAAGCTTAATATTTATTTGTTTACTTTATTAAACATTTCTTTCAATGTAAGTTGTTTAAGTTGCTTCGTTTTATGTGATAATACTTTCTCTTTAATTCTATAAACAGACATAATTTCTTGTTTGGTTACAAGTTCCACTGTTCAAGTCCTATAATTGCTGGGTCGAGAATACCGACTAATTTGTCAATCAAAATTTTTTTCGTTTCATAATAACCTCTTGTCACTTTCTTCTTCGCTATCGGAAGCGAATTATAATGACAAGGAATTTGATTTAAATCATATCAAAGGCGGAGTACATCGAGATGAAATACTACATTTAGTAAGAAATTATAAGCCAAATAAAATAAAAACATCTGCCCTGAAGATAAGGATAGTGCTGACAGATCAACTTCCAATTCATTGCGCGCCGCAGCGTTTTCCCTCCTCCCCGGCCGTAGAGCAGCGTGAAATTGATAAACAGATTTCGGAATGGTTAGAGAAAAAAAATCACCTCTCTGTCAGTTTCTTCATGCCTTTATCCATTATTTGCAGCAATTCCACTTTTTGTTTAGTGGACTTCGAAACATACTTTCGCTTTGTAGATCCTTTACATATTACTAAATAAATATCGGAAATTCTATTTGACATAATCGAAAGTTCAAGCTTACTTTTATAAAATTGCTCTAACAGTCAGCAAAAAATAATAAGCCGGATCCAATTGGAAGATTAAGGAACAACGCAATCTGCAATATTAACGCGAAATGCCTGAAATCAGAGAATTAGATAATTTTAGCTTAGCGTATACTGTCCGTTATACATTAAACGCGCATGCGTAAATGTATTTTGTGCATGTGCATATTCGCAGCTGTAAAGGTCTTGCGTCAATGCGTCGCATGCGCAGAAAGTTTGTAGCTTTAAGGTCCGGATTATGGGTGTCCGAATTAACTACTTTTGACTGTAATAAAAAAGTATTACATGAAATTAACCTTTTATCTAAATTAAAACAATAATCTTAGATAGTTATTTACTATTATACTTCCTTTCTTGCATTAGGGTTGCCACAATTATTTTTTAAAGCACTGGCATCAACAATAGTTTGGTGATTTTTTACGGTCCTCAAAATGGAATAGTACCCCCAAATGTTTGCTTTATAAATAATACAGTCATTCTTGCATTCACTACCACATTTAATATTTATATTTTTAATTTAAAATACAAATAATAGATTACCTTAATGAATTAAGCTCAACTCTTTCAGAAGAAATGGGTGTGAGATCAGTAATGAGTGATAAATGAGAAACTTGAACTGATGCCCAACCAAACTGAAATATCACAATGAATGCTCCATAATATACAAATTGAGCATTTTGAGATGAATTGGAACAGTTTATGCATTCCATAAATAAAAATGGGAAACTTCCTGCCACACAGATAGTACCTGGAAAAAAAAAAAAAAAAAAAAAAAAAATTCAATTAGTAAATAAACTTTATTAAAAATCACCTAATGAAAAGAAATACACCAAGTTTAAAATTAATTTATGAGGGAGGCTTTCTAAATTCTCAGCTCTGGTGATCACATTTTCTCATAATATTCATATTGTTAATTTCTGAAAACTGCATTAATCTGTAAATGGTATAAAATGTTTCATCCAGCAATTCATATGATATGAGGAATGAGATATGCACAGTAAATGACATTCTAGTAACCACACTTTTGCTAATTGAAATACATTAAGGTGCAGATTTAATTTTTTAGTCCAAAGGGACAATTTGCCCAGAAGGACTGTTAATTTCAGTTTGGCATTTTGCATTGATTCACTATAAATGTCGGTTCACTTTTCAAATTGTTTTCACAAATATTCGAGCCCTGCATTATACTTAAAGAAATTAAATAATGAAGAATCTGCATGAATGTATGCATGTTTCTCGCACTGTGGAAAAAACAAACAGTACCTAGAAACATCAAATTTTGAATAATGCAATCCTCCACCGAATCTGGGAATCTTAATTTGGAATTTGTTTTACTATATTTTTTTAAAACTTTAACAAATTTTTTATTAACAAAATGATTTCAAAGAGAGCAATGGCAACACTGTACGAGAGGGAAAAGTTTATTTCCATTTATTACTACATTTTTTATCTATACTACATTTATTACTACCATTATTATTGTTACATTTTTATCTTTATTAGCAGGTGAGACTGTGTATCAGAAATTCTAAAGATATGCTAATTTTAAAACTATTTTGTGATATTGGTGTCGAACTGAAATTTATGGTTTAAGTGCGAAGAACATGATATTTAATAAATAAAGAAAACACAAAAAATGTTAAAAAAAAGCCCTTTGGATGTAACGTAAAATCTAAAAGCTTTCAGATTTTTTTAAAGTTTTATTTTCCTTCATTATTATAACCTATTTTCTACTGCAAACAAAGATTTTTTTAAAAGGATAATATGCAAATAAATAATTCATCATGGTAAAGTATTTTAACATCTGTCTGCTAAACATTTTCTTTAAAATACAGAAACCATCTTTCCTATTTCAAAGTCACATATTATGTACTGAGTAATTCTATCATACACTAAATACTAGAATTTAAATACATTGATAATCTTTTTTTTTTTTTTTTTTTTTCTAATGGCAGATTGTGAACAGTTACAGTAAAACCCAGTCCATTAACACTTTGACGAGTGGTGGTCGCGCCTTGAAACCACCAATTTTCGAATTTTTTTCTCCTCTTCCTTCCGAAATTTTTGAATGAAAATCAATTGATTATTGATCTCTTACCTCTAAATAACACAAAATGACTACAGAACCATACATGTTTTAGGTTTTAGTACTTCAAATCGGATGCCTTTTAAAATCCATTTTCAATGAGACAAAATAACTTCCTTTTATTAATATAAACAACTTTAAATTTCAAAAGTTATTTATCGCACATCATGATTTCTATCATAAACAATAAAAAAACAGCATATATTAAAAAAAAACCCTCTATATATATGGCATTTGCTTTGTGGTTTCAGGACGTGACCACTGCCCCACTAGAGCATTGAGCCACAATGCTCTAGAGGCTCGGTGGTCGCGATTGGAAACCACTGCTCTTCACAATGGCGTTTGCTTGCTTCTCGAATAGGAATGTTTATTTTTACCCGGATATAGATAAGGGGTTTTGAAATCACAGAGTTATTTTATTACTAAACAATACATGCACCTGCTCAGTAAAAAGGTCTTTCTTTTCCAGCAACTTTGACACACTTGCTCCCCAAGCTAGTATTGTGATTTTATAAATTCTTTCCTGTGGTTTAAATTTAATGTACATATATTTTGCTGTAATTAAAAATAGAAATTGCATAAAGTTTTATTTAAATAAAAAATATTTTCTGAAAATTTTGGGACGAAATATGAATAAAATAAGTGTGAATGGGAAACGAATGATCCATATCAAAGCCAAAAAGACTAAGCCCCTCCTCATTAACATAAAAAAACCACAATGAAGGGAGGTAACAGTCCTCTGAAGGGAGGGACAGTTACAACCCTGCCTTCTCCAAGATTCGAACCCAGGTCCTTTGGTATCACAGTCAGGCTTCCCTAACCACTATATCGTCTGGGCGGCTATACATTGAACATCTAGTAATACTAATTCAGAAGTCAAACAACAAAAATCAGCGTTAATTTACAAAATTTTCACAGGACTAGTTTCGATGGTTTTATCGAACCATCATCTTCAGCTGCAAAACCGCAAATGAACAAGATAGGAAATAATGTTTAGATAAGATAAGAAAGCCTGGACAAGAATAAGCAAGTGGCGCCATCTGTTGGCGAAACCAGAACTAAAACATAATTTCTCTAAAAGCCGAAGGCAAATTTGGATTGGAATTAGGATCGTTAACTAGAACAGAAAGATTTTTATGAATGTGAAATGCCTCTAGAAAATCCAGTTCTCCAATGGAAGATGTTTTTTGAATAATTTTGGCAGCAGAAAAATTGAAAGTGTGATTTTTCGGACCAACAATGTTGAGCAACAGAAGACTTCTGTGTTTCCTTTTTTCTAACATATGCCTCATGTTCTTTGCTTGACGCGAAATTTTAAGGCTCTCTTAGTTTGGCCAATGTAAATTAAACCGCACTGGCAAGGAATCCTATAAATACCCCCAGAATTCATATCCGGAATGGGGTCCTTGAGTATAGAAGTTTGGAATTTTATTGATGGGAGAGTAAACAACCCGAAAGTTAAATTTCTTTCTGCAAATATGTGCAACTTTATAGCTAATTGATGGAAGAAGGGAATGACAACAGAATTTTTATAATCTCCTAAAATAAGAGTGTGGCTTTTAGTGTGTTGAGATGAGAATTTTTTAACTGCTTGATTAATAATGTTTGGGTGAAAAGCCCCTGTCAATAGCTATTGCTTTTAAATAATTTAGTTCTTCATCAAGGGCTAGTTTGGAGGAGCAAACTTGAAGAGCACGGAAAACATAGGATAAAATGAAGCTAACTTTTGTTTAGTCGGATGACATGATTTAAAGTGTGGTGGAAGGCAAACCGATGAAGGTTTACGGTAAACCGTAGTACTGAAGTTGGATGTGTTACGTGTGACCAGAATGTCGAGAAACGGAAGAGAATTGCAAGTCTCAAGTTCAAAAGTGAACTGAATAGCAGGATCAATAGAATTCATTGTTGAAAGAACTCTATTTAAATCATCTTTATTACCTTCAAACAGGGTAAAAGTGTCGTCTACGTAGCGGAACCATGCCGGGAAGTTTAAAGTTTCAAACAATTTTGATTCATAATAATGCATGTAGATATCAGCCAGGATGGGACTGAGGGGGCTTCCCATGGCTAATCCCTCAGTTTGCTTGTAATATTTATTTTGGAAAACAAAATGTGTTTGTTTCAAACAGAGTTGAGTGAGAGAAATTAGCTCATCAATTTCGATGCAAGAGAAATGAAATTCGCAAAGTCTGGTTTCTAGACATCTTAATGCACCCTCCACTGGGACATTGGTGAATAATGATTTTACATCAAAAGAAAACCATGAGTAAATTACGAGGAGAAATGTTTTTAACTTTTTTTAAAAACTCTATTGAATTTTTTATGGTGTAAATGTTATTGTCTAATAGAGTGGAAAATCTAGAAACTAAACAAAAGTTAGCTTCATTTTATTCCTATGTTTTCCGTGCTCTTCAAGTTTGCTCCTCCAAACTAGCCCTTGATGAAGAACTAAATTATTTAAAAGCAATAGCTATTGACAGGGGCTTTTCACCCAACATTATTAATCAAGCAGTTAAAAAATTCTCATCTCAACACACTAAAAGCCACACTCTTATTTTAGGAGATTATAAAAATTCTGTTGTCATTCCCTTCTTTCCATCAATTAGCTATAAAGTTGCACATATTTTGCAGAAATTTAACTTTCGGGTTGTTTACTTACTCTCCCATCAATAAAATTCCAACTTCTATACTCAAGGACCCCATTCCGGATATGAATTCCTGGGGTATTTATAGGATTCCTTGCCAGTGCGGTTTAATTTACATTGGCCAAACTAAGAGAGCCTTAAAATTTCGCGTCAAAGAACATGATATGAGGCATATGGTAGAAAAAAGGAAACACAGAAGTCTTCTGTTGCTCAACATTGTTGGTCCGAAAATCACACTTTCAATTTTTCTGCTGCCAAAATTATTCAAAAAATATCTTCCATTGGAGAACTGGATTTTCTAGAGGCATTTCACATTCATAAAAATCTTTCTGTTCTAGTTAACGATCCTAATTCCAATCCAAATTTGCCTTCGGCTTTTAGAGAAATTATGTTTTAGTTCTGGTTTCGCCAACAGATGGCGCCACTTGCTTATTCTTGTCCAGGCTTTCTTATCTTATCTAAACATTATTTCCTATCTTGTTCATTTGCGGTTTTGCAGCTGAAGATGATGGTTCGGTAAAACCATCGAAACTAGTCCTGTGAAAATTTTGTAAATTAACGCTGATTTTTATTGTTTGACTTCTGAATTAGTATTTATTCGGCGTGTTATTGTGTCTTAATCTAGTAATACTATTAAAATATATTTATACTATGCATAGCTAAACTGTGGCTTGCAAGCCGCTTGAGGTAATTTGACCCCTTAAGTGCAACTCACATACAACAAACAGTCATTTCATTTTTGAAGTAACTTTGCAGTTCAAAACAGAGATCACTCAATGACATGCATTGTCAATGAAATGAAATCATTAGAAAAGCAATTTTTTAAATTAATTTTTGTGTGTAATAATTTAGTCCATTTCAAGTTGTCCATCATATACTAATCATTACAGTACTGAATAACATAGTAAATAATTCAATTTAATTATGCGAATTATAATGACCATATCATTTTTAGACCAGCCAATGGCCATCAGGACAGCTCAAAGACAGATGCGAAGGTTAATTAGAAAATAATGC